GCCAAGCAGGGTTGCCTCTGCTGCGTGCCAGTGGCTGTCATTCCTGTGGCTGATGCTGCTGAGGGAGGTGGGGGGAGGGATGCTATGCCATGCCTGGCAGCCTATGAATGGTGGCACCGCCTACAGAGTTGACAGGGAGGTATATGAGAGTGGCCCCAACCTGCTGGCCTCTCTAGTACAAGTAGCCTGCATGCCCCACCCCCACCAAAGGGCTAATGTGTGTTCTGTTTGCGACAGATCTAACTTAGGGCTCTTAGTATACAGTAAATAACTAGCTCACTTTTGCTTTGGGCATTTTGAATGTCTGTACCTGGTCAGGAAGGTCTGAAAGGAACCTGTGCTAATCAGGTACAGAGGTCAGAGCTCACTGCACATGTTCAGCATGGACAAAGTTTGGGGGACTACACCCCTTTGCCCTGTTCCTGGATCTACTACTGACTATTGCACATGTAAAACATAGGTGTAAAATATACTTTAATTTTTATAAAGATCAGAGAAAGAGAATATGTTCATGAAGCTAAATGTCTATTTTGTTTATAGTTATGTATACCGTATTTACTCAAATCTAAGATGGAGCTTTCTCCATTCAACATGGAAAAAAAATAAACTTCATCTTAGATTTGCGTATAGCCCAGATAAGGCAGCTGCTGCGGCTCTGGCTTTGACTCCAGCCCCAGCCTGTGGGAGACTGTACAGTGCACAGTGGGGGGAGCTCAGGGGAGATTGCACAGTGCAGAGTAGGAAAGCATAGGGGAGATCATGAAGTGCAGGGGGGAATGCAGGTGGATCACACAGCGCAAAGGGGAAATTGTTTGGTGTTCAGCCTGGGGGAGCATACAGGAACTGCAACAGCTCCAGCTCTGGCCCCAGTCTTGAGCCAGGGCTGGATCTGCTGCTACTGCCTCTGCCTGGCTGGGGCTCGTGGCACTGTGTGCTCTGGGCCTCAGGCTGAATCCAGAGCCAGAACTGCTGAATTGGGTAATGTGGTGGAAAGGCACTGAGGGGGGCAAATGACTGGGGCTCAGGCATAGGGAGAAGGGGAGAAAGTGCCTGAAAGCAGGCATGGAGCTCAAGTAGAAGAGGAAGGCAGGCACTGGGGATTGGGGGACAACACAAGTGGCAGGAGAGACAGGTGCTAGCAGTGCAGTCACAAGCAGGGTCAAACGGCATGAGGAAAGATGGGGTACGGGGGGAAAGGGGCATGATACCTGACATCCTCCCCTGCTGCTTCTTTCCTTGCTGATTGCTCCCCTGCCACTGCAGCAGTGGAGATGGGGGGGGGGGAGGCAACAAACTGAAAACCACCCTCCGATTATTAGATTCTATCCATGGAAAATAATAACACATTTGTAATTTTCCAAGGATAGAACCTAATGACTGGGGGGCAGGGAGCGGGGAGTGGGGGGTGACAGAGGTCATTTTGACTTGGGAGTTCTGTTGGATTCGGGCTGATATAACAAAGCAGTTCTTTCTTCAGAAAGATCACAGCAGGTCAGAAAGCTTTTGACACAATGGATTTGCATTTTAGATCTCTGGATTTATCTTGTAAAACATGTGCTGGTGTTTATGCACTTAAGGACATGTCTACACATGATGCTACATTGCTATAGCTATGCTCTATGGTGACGTAGCATCCATGGGTGTCTATGCATGACCAGCAGCTATTTCACCATAGCAACGCACCCCCCCATTATAGCATGCTGCTACGAAGTAGCTGCTAAAACTAACTGTGCACCATGCGCACTGTGTAGTACGGGTGGCTAACTGCTCCATGTTTTAGTACTTACTTAAAAAGATCTCACAGCACCCCAGGGTGCTGCAGCACTCTGGTTGAGAGTCGCTGATGTTAGGGCTTGGACATATGAGCAGGTTACCAATGAGGTAAAGAAGGATGAAGGATGGGGTTTTACAGCTGCTGTTGTAACTGACCCTGTGCACATAGTTATCCCATGGTTAATGAAAGCTAAACCGTCATAGTTTGTTCCTCTTTTATTCATGGTTAAGTTACAGCAGACTAGCTTTTATTTACCTCAGAGTAAGTATGTATACATAGGCAGTTACCAAAGAGCAACTGAAACATTGAAAAGCCCCGTTTTCCTTTGTCCCGTGGTTACTTGTTTGTGTGACCATGCTCTCAGTTAAACAACATATTTATGCTCTCCAAAAATGTAGGAATAAGATATGATTCAATCAAATTAAATGACAAGTCTTTTAAAATGAATAAGCACCTGAAGTATATAATATAAATCCAACTGTGGGAATGATTACTAAAATATATGAATAAGGAAATAGATTTTGAAAGAAGATTAAATTATGTTCATAAGTAACAAGCATTTCCTTGGCAGTTACAGTAGTGTGAATCATATATCAGCCATTGCTCATCACAATTTAAGCTAACATTTACTCTTGGTTCTAGATAAGGATTGTGTCAGATTAATAATAACTAAGGTGCCTAAGTAAAATGTAGTTCTCCCCAAATTCCTGAACAGTGCTACTCATCCCTGGAAGTGTCAGGAATCTATAGGCATAGATATAGGCCTGCAAAATTCCCTATACACCTAAAAGTCTGAGTATTCCTAGAGGTGCCTTAATTTTGAAAGTGCTGTGGAGCTAATGCTGGGCCTAATCTAGTGGGCATCTCTGAGACAAGTGCCAGATAAGACGCTCCACAAAACACAACCACTAACATAGTTGGTCACCGGTGGCCTTCTATCTAATAGTTCAGTGGTTAGAATTCTCACTCAGGAAGGTAGAAATCTAGGTTCAGTTCCATCCCGTGTGAGGGAATTTGTAACTTCAATTCTCATCTTCCAGGTAAATGTTCAATCCAGCAGTCCAGGCAATAGGGTATCTTATGAGCGGGTATTTTAGGATGGGGAGAGAATAAGTAACCAATCATCGGGCAAGAGAAACCATGAAAGTGATTCCATGGCATACTGCATATGGTTCTCCCCTGGGAGAAGTTTGGGTTCATATTCTAATTAATAACTCACAATTTTCTATTAAGAATTCATTAGAGGAGAAGTTAGATCCAGGTCACTTCCTACCTATGTGAGTGAGAAAGGATAATGAAACCACAATAGTTGGTACCCTAGAGAAGAGTGAAACTTAAGACACAGGCCTCTCTCAAGTAATTCTTCCTTGCTAGAATAAGTATCTCTTCACTTGGTGTTTTGGCCTTTACAAAACCCTTTCTAAGGTGTCCACAGTGTTCTGTGATTTATACAGGGGACCCTAACTCAGGGTTGGAGATGCAACTAGGTAACAAGATACCTAAGAATTAAATATTATAGTGCTCAGCATTGTGCCACCAGAATCTTATCATGGATCTAGCCTAAGGTCAATGGCACCTTTTATTCTCGGGATCAGTTGAGAATGCTCAACAGTTTACAGATCTAAGTCCTTAACCTTAGGACAGAGATATTGGCCCTCATCAGTCTTCACCAGCAAAAAGCCTTAACATTAGCATTGTTGGCTGCACAATGCTTGCCAGAGTGTGCATCAGTATGGGGGCAATGGTTCCTATTCCACCCAGCACCTATGTTCTGCTTGTCTTGTAATCAAATGATGGCTGCCTGCCTCATCTTCATGACAGTTTGCAGCCAGGATCGAGAAAGCCCTATATATGGGTTAAAGTCATCTTCATAACCCCGCATATATTATGTTCTCCTCCCTTAGGCTGCAGCCAAGTATATCGGACACTATTTTATTATTTATTCTTTAAACTTCATGTGTGTTTATAACTTACTACTATAAAACAAATTGGGTTTCCTAGATTAATACATTCTAAAGAATAAACTTGAATCCATACATCTAACAAATATTTTCTCTTTTCTATTTCTGATGTTAATTATTCTATTATTTATACCATGGTTTCTTCCATCCAAACAAAAGGTAATATAGGTCAATACCTACTTTTCTTTACTGTTTAGATGGAAATATTAGTTGTCACCTACCATATTAACATCTATTTTCTACACCACTTTTTAGCATGCCACAAATATTAAGCAAAATAAATAAATTAATTAATATTATTTCTCAGAAGCACTCCTTCCAAATATATCTTGGAAAACAAAATGAAATGGAAGAACAATTTATCTTTTTTTTCTATATTTCCCTGTGGTTTTTATAAATGTCAAGTGTGTATACCTTATTGCTTTTTTAATACGTGTGGTCAAAATAAGAGGATTGTATTTTATATAAACCAATCTGATATCTTTTAATGTTATTTGAAATTAAATGAATTATAATTTAAAGCCTACTTTTAAGTTTGTTATTTCTTGTTATTGAAATAACAGTTTGTTCTTAGTAGTTGGTAAAATACTGATAAAGGATAATCTTCATATTATATGATTCATTTGTTTTTGCTTTTCCTTTTTAGATTTATATATTACATCTCTGTTAGTTGTCATAGTTTGTATTTTTGGTCTTTTCAACTCAACTGTATAAAATATTATTAAAAGAAAGTAAAAAGAGACTAAAGAGTGTTTTTTTTTCAAATATTTCAAAATTAAATCAATCTTCTTGATAATTGCCTTGTAAGAGGAAAAAATAAACAATCACTCTCTTAAGTGGATTAAAAAAAGAATTCCTACTTTCTTACAACTGCAGACATAACAACTAAGAGCTATATATTGTCCTTGATCCATTGATACCATTCCTTTTGATAGCATTGAGAGTAAGGGCTGCACAATACTAAATTCTGTGTCTATTCATGCAGTAAAACAGCTACTTTCACTTAAAGCTCAATTATAGACTTATCCAGGAATCTGTTTTTAAAGTTTTTGAAATTAAGAAAATAAATGTAATGATATACCTGCATAAATTATCCTTATCATTTTGCGTTTTGAAAGAATCAAACAATATTTAAAGTAGAGGACAGAACTGAGGAAGATGTTTTCATACTTGATTTATATAAACCCCATACACCCCTCTGCATATGTTTTAAGATACAGGAGGCTTGTTGCATTTATTTATATGTTCTATTTTCTTCTCTGCAGAATATGACCTGGAACCATGTGATGACCCTGGTGTTCCTGCTTTCAGCAGACGAATTGGTTTTCACTTTGGTGTTGGAGACTCCTTGACATTTTCTTGTTTTCCTGGATATCGTTTAGAAGGTGCTAATAAACTTACCTGCCTGGGTGGTGGTCGTCGTGTTTGGAGTGCACCTCTGCCAAGGTGTGTGGGTAGGTGGTCACATGCTTTCATTTCATTCATCAAATCGTTAATACCACATGATAAATGTCAGAACAGTGGGCAGAGAACAAAGTGCTAGTGGCGAGGGACTAATTGCCAAGCTTTATTTGCTCAGAGTTCAGACAGCTATAATTTTGAATAGTACTTCATTACTGTAGTTATAAAGAAAAGTAGAAAACAAAAGCAAATAAGGATGCTTTAAATGAACATATTGATGGAACAATATTTATCAATTGAAATTGTAGTAGATGAAGGTATGTGAAGATAAAATGAAAAGGGTGGTATTTGGACTAGGAATATGTGGTTATTTTAAAAGCAAGCAAAGACAGATATTTACCCATTATCTTCCAGAATAAAAAGCTATTCTCCAGATCTTTGTTCTGAAAAGTGGTTTTGTTTTGTTTTTAATAAATTCTGCATATTGGCTGGTGAATTAATTTTTCAATAACTGTTCTTACTGTGCTTGCAATTTAAAAAATTACAAGCTTCTTTTAAGAGTTGTAATAAAGCTAATGTGGGTTTTTTGAGATTCTGAAAATAGAGTTTTCAAACTTTATAAATACTATGTATGATTTGTGTTAGTGTTTTTTGTGATGTTTGATAACTTGGATTGCATATACACTGTAAGGCACTAGCATGTGAAACTATCAATTGATATTAATATAATGCTCCTGAAATATCAAATACCTTCAGTTACATCTGAGTGAGTGGTTTCTTTTAAGAGGGTTTCTGTTTATTTTGGGTTGGTTTTTTTTATTAGGGAAAAACATATCCCTTTAATGGTATATTAAAAATATCCATCAACATAAAACAGTAACATCTCCTTTATGAAAGAACACACCCAGGGTATAGAAAGAGAACATGTTTACACTGCTGTTAAAAAAAGAAATGGATGATGACCTACATCCTATAACTTTCCCCATTATTTTGCATACCAAAAGGAACTGTGGTTAAGATATACTGGTACACTGTGTCATTAGCTTATCCCACGGTAGCCTTTCTTCAGGACAAGCAGTCTCTTGTATTCAGGCAGTGATATAGGATCTACTGTTCACAGCTGCCCTAGTAGAACTGCTCATCTGTCTAATTGACAGAAATTAAACCTATCATTTCTGGAGCAGAAATTGGTATGCAAAATTAAGGTAAGTTACACAGGTATGAATCTCCTGGGTGTCTGGATTTTCAAGGGGAAATATTAAACCTATATTTTGTCATGATTAAAAGGGGAGATATTGATGAATTGCCTTCTGAATGGTAAGGAATTAGTGGCTGTGTAGAAACAGCCTTAGAGTCACATGGAACTTATGTCTGTGTGGAAACTTTGAGTAGTAAGACTCCACCCTTCCCATAGGTAACATGATTACATTGAGGGTGACCATGCACAGTGTTAAAGAGTGCAGATGACTTTAAGTATGTGTACAAATGTTCACCACAACCAGTCTATGGTCAGTGATCATTCGGTATACTATGGTGGCTTACTTTATGCTTTGTGATCATAGATCAGAAGTGGCATGTGCAGATGTTTTCTGGTGCCTGTAGCTGTACTGAGAACTCAGTGTAAAGAAGCTTAGAGTGGGAGGAGGAAGGGGTGGGACTGTGGGGGCTAACAGGCCCAGAGGGGTTTGGCAGGATCAAGTCCCAAAAGGGTGGTGGGGGGTGGTCTCTATCTGGGGATGGCAGGTCAGGGGACTAAAAATGGCCCAGTCAGGTGGGGTGGGGTGCAGAAGGAGCACAGCCCTGAGGTGAGCGGGCAGCCCTTCCCAACCCTAGGGCTGCACCCTGAATGTCTGTAGACATTTTCCTGATTGGGTTAATCTATTCCTAATCTAAAATAGTTAATTTACTTAAGTGAACTAATTTAGATTGGGTCAGCCATTTTTGGCTCACTTAAAACCCCCTGGATGTCTTCACAGAATGGCATTTAGATTGACTGACTGATTGATTTATTAGATCAATTGATTTAGGTTGATCTAAATGTAACTTCTGCATGTACCCTAATAAGGCATTCAAACCCTCCTTAATATATTATTTATTTTAAAGATCAGGAAATTATCCAATAGCAGATTGCCACCGTATCTCTTTCAGATTGTCATCGTGAGCTGAAAATTATTTCTTTATTTTTCTCTTAACAGAGACATGACTTCATTAGTTTGACAATACTAAGACTATTAATATGTTATATTTTCCATTAGCTCTATCAAAATATTATTTAGGCTGTATCCAATAGAGCTGTGCAAAGCTTCAGTCCCTGATTCAATTTCGCGGAGATTTGGCCTGATTTGGTGACCAAATCTCCAAATCCAAATCAAATCAGAGGATCCTTTAATATCTCCAAATCAATTCAGAACCCTCCCAATCAACTCAGAGAGATTCAGACAGATTAAGCAATTCACACATAGATACAGCTTTAAATGTTTTTTCTACATACCTCTAGGTAGCAGGGGCTCTGAATGCTGCAGTGCTGGGGCAGAAGCAGTGTCACACAGAAACATGTGGGGCTCCCCACCATGCTCAGCAGCAGATCTGGAAGTGGACCAGAAGCACTTCCAGTCCACTTCCTGGTCCACCGGGGAGCATGCAGGGGGGTCCTCCCTGTGCCCCCCTGGCTTGGGGCCTGGTGCCTCCTGAATCTGGGGGTGGCATTGGGGGTCCCCCTGCAGCTGATCACCAAGCTGGGCGGGTGCAGGGGAGGGCCCAGCATGCTTCCTAGTAGACCCAGAAGCAGGGTCTCTGCCAATCACGCTGGAGAGCCCCCCATGTTCCTATGGGATGCTCCATCCACCCCAGCACCACAGTGATCGCGAGCTGCGCTGCTACCTCAAAGTATATAGAAAACAACATTTAAAGCTGTGCCTGTGTCCAAATCACTGATTTGCCAAGTCAGCAACAAATATTTGGATTCGGCTAAATCGAATCAGGGACAGTGATCCAAACCAATGGATCAAATCACTGTCCCAGATTTGGGCTGAATCTAAATCAAATAGGGCCTGCACAGCCCTAATATCCAAATGCAGTTATGATGGAACATACAATTGTTGTTACCTTGTGTTTCTTTTATGATTGCTTTGAAATAAGTAATTGAAGTAATTATTCTAATTCAGTTAAACTATTTTTTGGCTTCAAGATAGAAAAAAATTGGTAGGAAAATTAAGATTGTACTATATGATTATATTCTATGTGTGAGTGTATGTATGTATGTATGAATGCATGTGTGTATTATATGAGTAAAAGTATATTTGTATTAATATAAAATAAACATCATTTGCTTTCCTACACAATTCATATTTATAATATTTTAATGAAAGGAATTAATATACTTTTATTTCTAAGAATAGGGTACCCAGTTCTAAAGTGCATCTTGGAATAAAGTATGTAGTTTAATCCTACAGAATGGGAGATTTTGTCGGAAAGCAGTACCTTAGAATAGGACTTGATCAGGACAACAAGAGACACAGGGAAGGATTTAAGTGGGAAGCTGCACCTTTACTAATATAACATTTAAATTCTGCAGATTTCCCTAAACAGGCCTTATAAACCATGATTGTTCAGGAGGTAATTTATTTTTTTGCTAATCCTTAAACTGTCATCAGCCATTTTCTCACAGCTGGTGAGTCTGTGGGTTTCAGCTGGTGCGGAGTGTAACTCCAGGAACACATATTACACAGAAAAAAAGTATTCATAAAAGAATATTAAATAAAAAATTGTTCAAAATTGTATGAATTGCCCTCATTAACCTTATTATCCTTGCCCATTTGACTAACTCTTAACTGGTAAAACAAACTGCTTACTAGAAGAGAATCTATTACTTACCTCAAATAGTGATTGCTTCTTATATTAGGGGGCAATAAAAATAATCTAAATGGGGAGGATATTTTCATGTCTGTAAGTATGTCCAAAATAATTTGTTAGTTCATAGATGTTAGATGTTAGATGTTAGGGTCGGAAGGGACCTCAATAGATCATCGAGTCCGACCCCCTGCATAGGCAGGACACAGTGCTGGGTCTAGATGACCCCAGCTAGATGCTTATCTAACCTCCTCTTGAATACCCCCAGGGTAGGGGAGAGCACCACCTCCCTTGGGAGCCCGTTCCAGACCTTGGCCACTCTAACTGTGAAGAAGTTCTTCCTAATGTCCAATCTAAATCTGCTCTCTGCTAGCTTGTGGCCATTATTTCTTGTAACCCCCGGGGGCACCTTGGTGAATAAATACTCTCCAATTCCCTTCTGTGCCCCCGTGATGAACTTATAGGCAGCCACCAGGTCGCCTCTCAACCTTCTCTAGCGGAGGCTGAAAAGGTCCAGGTTCTCTAGTCTCTCCTCGTAGGGCTTGGTCTGCAAGCCCTTAACCATACGAGTGGCCCTTCTCTGGACCCTCTCTGGGTTATCCGCATCCCTCTTGAAGTGTGCTGCCCAGAATTGCACGCAGTACTGCGGCCTGACCAGCACCCGATAGAGGGGAAGTATCACCTCCTTGGATCTATTCGTCATGCGTCTGCTGATGCACGATAAAGTGCCATTGGCTTTTCTGATGGCTTCGTCACACTGCCGACTCATGTTCATCTTGGAGTCCACTAGGACTCCAAGATCCCTTTCCACTTCCGTGCCACCCAGCAGGTCATTCGCTAGGCTGTAGGTGTGCTGGACATTTTTCCTCCCTAGGTGCAGCACTTAGCATTTCTCCTTGTCGAACTGCATTCTGTTGTTTTCTGCCCACTTGTCCAACCTGTTCAGGTCTGCTTGCAGCTGTTCCCTGCCCTCCAGCGTGTCCACTTCTCCCCATAGCTTTGTGTCATCTGCAAACTTGGACAGAGTACATTTCACTCCCTTGTCCAAGTCACTGATGAAGACATTAAAGAGTATCAGTCCAAGGACCGAGCCCTGCGAGACCCCACTGCCCACACCCTTCCAGGTCGAAACCGACCCATCCACCATGACTCTCTGGGTGCTACCCTCCAGCCAATTCGCCAACCACCGGACTGTGTAGTCATC